AGCAGGGACGACGTCAGCATCAGTGCTGTTTGCGATCGCCTTGGGCTGAAACATGTCAGAGTCTGCTGCCTGTCCCCTAGACTATAAACTGTTTTGGAGCCCCCCCAGTTGGAGCCCCCCCAGTATCCGCCCTTAAATTCCTTGAAATCCCCTTAAACTCCCTTATTTGTCTTCGCCAGGTGGGCAACCTGACATGTCTGAAAAAGGTCGCTAAGATAGCTAATCTCTGCCTGCTCAGGGCTGTCGAGAGTGGTATAAATCTCTTTGTTGATTATTCTGAATCGTCTATTGGCTCACTTTTGGTTGGCTCGTTCTTCTTTCCGCTGTTCGCATTTTGCCAAGGCCGGCGTTCACTGATTCGGCGCCTCGTTCTGCTTATTTGCCTTTACCGAGGGCTTATTTCTCAGAATTTCTCCCTACTTTTTCCTGAAGTGTTCCCTTATCTTTTCTTATGTTTTTAATTGTTCTTCTGTTTTCTTGTTTTTTCTTGGGTTCACTCCTCTGTGGCTCTAGTATTTTTCGTTAGTTTTCCTGATTTTTTCTTATTTATATTATTTGTTCTTATTTTTATTTTGATTTTTTCTTGTTTTCTGTTGTTTTCGTATTTTTTCTTAGTTTCCTTTTTTACTTATGTTTTCTTACGTTTCCTTATTTTCGCCTGTGCTCCTTATGTTTTTTCTTATCTTGCCGGAATCTCTGTAAATGTGCATCACACGCAGCGTGCCCCTGCTCTGGCTCAGATCTGTGCTCCTCAGACGTGGCTTCTGCCGTGGACTTCTCCACGTTCTTCTGCTCCATCTCCCGGCCCTGCACTGTCCACACGATTTGGACTTTCTTCATGAGTTCTTTCAACGGGGCGGCCAGCTGCGCGTCCTTGAACATTTGCGACCACGTTTTCGCTAGGCCGAAGCTTTTCGCTTCCTGTATTGTCAGCTTCTCTTGGAGAATTTTGCCGATGCCGTTGAATTGGCGTTGGAAGGATGTGCTTTGCAGGTCCCCCAAGATCTTCGCAGCGATGGCCTGGCGACTGGGCGCCTCATGGCCGACCCTGCCTTTTTTTTTCGGCGTGTCGAAGAGCGCGGAACCCATCTGCTGCGCGCGCTGGCATCTCTGAGCTTGCGCTTCGCGTACTTTCTCGTCGCCGCAGCTTGAATGTCTTCCATGGTGGCACGGCAACTGGCAGCTGGCACGGCGGCATTCATGCGAAACACTTCTCGGGGACCATCAGGGCAGTGCCTCTTGGTCATGCCACTCATTTCCTCGCAGGAACGAATGTGCACGAGCCGACTCATACCCAGCAGCTCGCAGGAACGCAGGATACCCAGCAGCTACTCTTTACTCTGGACGCTGCCTGGATCAGCTGCTCGTCGCCCTCCAGCCACTTGGCGAAGGCAATGTGGCTGCACGCGCCAGACTTGCTGGCCAGGAGACAGCTGCACCGCACCTCATGATCTAGGACGGAGCATATGCAAACGTTGCGCAGCAGCTGCCGGACTTGCCCCGTCGACAGGCGGTTCTCGTCCTCCACCCAAGCCCCAATGCTTCGCAGGGCTTGTTTCACCTGACTCCAAGTTTCAGAAGTTTCAAGCAAAGACACATCAGGCCATGCTTCCTTTACTACAATCATGGTACGACGAACACAGCCGCCGAGCCTGATCGATGGACTCCGCTCTGACCAACTGCACCATGACCTTTCGTGGCGCAGCCGTGTTTCTCTCCGTTTTCTTCTCTCTCCCTCTCTTGTCTCCGTCGTTCTGACCCCAGCCTCGTGTGTTTTCTGGTCCACGGTCAGGCTCGCGTCGCGGAGAGGCAGCGTGTAGAATCTCACGGCGTCGTCTGCCAGAGCGAACTTCTCCAATTCAAAATTCGCCGGCGCCCCCGCGATGTACGCTGACGCAGCTGGCACTCGGAGCTGTTCGTTGTTTTGGCAAGCCACCCTCTCCGTCAAACACGGCCTCACCCGTCAACAGGCGGCAACACTGGAAGTCTAATCTGGGGCAAGCCCCGAGCTTGATTTCATCGCCGTCCATGTGCTCGGCACGAAACATCGCCTCCAGGCCGGCCAAGATCTTCGGCACGCTGTGCTGGAGCGGAATTTTGTGCATGTCAGCGGGCAAGTGATTCTGCTTGAGGTTAGACCAAAAGCCTTCCAGCGCCTGCGACAGTGTGCCGCATCCGAAGCCGGCGCGGGTATGCTCGCCCCCGCAAGCTTTGATGGTCAGCGACCTCAGGGACTGCCACTCGGCCCGCCAAAGATCGCCATGCCTCTCCAGACAAGTCTCCTCCACGCGTGCATTGGATGAAAAAAAAGCATCGAGCAAAAATTGCTGCGCCCGAGTCCTGCACGTACCGCATGAGGTCAAGTTCGGCTTTTCCGGCCAACTTGACAAGGAAGCTGTCCCAGAATAGACTGAACAGCTGCTTGTTGAAGCAGAGCGCGTGCGCGGTGAACTGCACTTCGCCGGCGCACCAGTTCTTCAACGCCAGCGGCGAATCCTGTCTTCTCACGGCGTCGATTTGATGTCGGACATCTCGGACAAACCGAAGCCCGGCACTCGTCGTTGCCTTGCGACCTGACTACAAGCTAGAATCAGCAGGGGCTGTGAGTTACTTTCGGTTTTGTGATAATGACACTGCCTGCGGTTATCCTTGCTAAATTGGAAGTCGCGTCTCCAGCATCTGTGTTGTCCCATTGGATAGATGCTAGATTGAGAGCATTGCAAGCTGCACTGCGCCAGGAGTCGAACTTGTTCAGTGTCGGTTTCCTTGGCCAGGAAAGCAACTGCGAGAGGCAGCAAGGCAGTTGTTGGCAGTCCTCCCGGCCAGTGTCGCTGCTTTCCAGTCATGCGTGCAGTATCTTGGCGTTTGCCCTAGAGACCCTGGAGCATATGGACAAGAACACGCGGCAATGGTCGGTCCTGTGCCGTGCCCGCGGTGTTTGCCGGCCAGTGCCAGCATCCACATCGGGAATTTGGCGCTGTTCGTTTTGTACGTGAAATCGGAGACGCCATATATCTCGTTCGTGTCAGCATCGTCCGGGGTGCTGCCGTCGGCGCGGTCGGTGTCAGTTTGAGCCCTCTCCATTACCATCGACGAAGACGTGCTTCCAGGCCACGGGGCATTTCTCGTGCGCGGCACAGGTCGCCCTCACTGCGACTCCGGTTTTCCGAGGCATCAAACGCAGGCGGGCATTGATTGCATGCTGCTCGTTGAACTGACGCACTCGCTCTGTCGCAGCGGCGCCGGAATACGGGAAATCTGCAGGCAAAGGAAAGCTCCAAGGCTGAGGCTCCGCTGCCATGGCGATGAGCGAGAGCTGAGCTGCACGGGCCACGGACTGCAGCGAGGCAACACGAGCATCCTCACACCAGGCACACACAAAAGCCCCGCAGGACAGCCCCCCGCCGTCTGACCCCAAACTTTCTCCTGGTCTTCGCCACTCTCAGGACACTTCCATTACCGTTGAGGCACAGGCGCTTCCGGGCGCTCTGAATTATAGGGTCTGAAGCAACCGGACTGGCAGCGAGACTTTGCCGCGTCATGGCAGTTGGCACGTGGCGCTGCTACTATCGGGGACACCTTCCTGGCAAAAGAGTTCGCCTCTGAAGTCACGTAAAACGAAACCTACTCCTGCAAACTCGGGCTTGTCGAGCTTGGCCGGCCGCTACCACCGCCTCTACCTCCGCTTGCAGCTGGTCGACAAGGTTGTGGAGCTCACCAAGCAACCTCCCGAAGTAGATGCCGCAGCTCCCCCTCGCTCATGCCATGCAGAGGGTTCAGAAACGTAGGCAATTGGCTGGGCCTTGCAGAGTCCGCCGCCAAAAATCGCCAGCAAATGTACCAGCCCAGCGACGTGGCCATGTCCAGGCACTGATCAGCTCGTTGACTTTTGCTTGGGGCCGGCAGGTAGAACTCCACAGGACGCGCGCCGACGTGGCGTTCCGTGGTGTTCCGAATCCGTCAAGCTAAGGGGGAACGCCACAGGACGCGCGCCGACGTGGCGTTCCGTGGCGTTCCGAATCCGTCAAGCTAAGGGGGAACGCCACAGGACGCGCGCCGCCGTGGCGTTCCACGTGGTGTTCCGCGGCGTTGGGACCCGCGCCGCCGTGGCGTTCCACGTGGCGTTCTGCGGCGATCCGAATCCGTCAAGCTAAGGGGAACTCCGGAACGCTACGTAAAGCCACGTCCTGTGGAGTTCCCTCTTAGCTTGACGGATTCGGAACCTTAGCTTGACGGATTCGGAACGCCACGGAACGCCACGTCGGCGCGCGTCCTGTGGAGTTTCCCCTTAGCTTGACGGATTCGGAACGCCACGTCGGCGCGCGTCCTGTGGAGTTCCCCCTTAGCTTGACGGATTCGGAACGCTACGGAACGCCACGTCCTGTGGAGTTCCACCTTAGCTTGACGGATTCGGAACGCCACGAAACGCCACGTCGGCGCGCGTCCTGTGGAGTCCCCCCTTAACAGCACGCGTTACGCCACTCGCGAACGCTTGCGGACGCTTGCGAACGCTTGCGGACGCTTTGCGGACGCAACGCAACGACGTTTGGTAACCACCCAACCCAACTTTTAAAACGGGAACCCTTCTGCGGAGCATTCGGGATAGGGGTTTAGGGGTATGTAGCTGAGGCATTCCTGGCTTCCCTTGGAAGCACAGGCACCTCGAAACTGCCCAGTTTTCGTAGGCGATTCTTGGTTTCAACGCTCAGGCTCTGGTGGAGGCCTCTCTCTCTCTCTCTCTCTCTCTCTCTCTCTCTCTCTCCTACGACTTGCCTGAAATGTTAATTACAAACCTGGGACTCTAAACCGGTCCTAAAATCTTGAAGTCCTAAACCCGCAAAAAAACCAAAACCCCCAAACGCTTAGAGCCCGAAACCAACCCCAAGCTCCCAAACCCCAAACCCGATGCCTCAACCAAAACCCTGCAAACCACTCCAGCAACTCAACTGACCACCCTAAACCCCAAACCCTAAACCCTAATCCCTAAACCGCCAGGCGTCAAGAAGGCCGAGTCGAACCCGCAGAGGAACCACTTGGAGCCGTTCATGTTCCTCCGAGATGTTCGGGAAAGGGGGGCTTTTGAGGGTGATGCTGGGGGACGGAGGGGCTTTTGAGGGTTTGGGGTTTGGGGTTTGGGGTTTGGGGTTTGGGGTTTGGGGTTTGGGGTTTGGGGTTTGGGGTTTGGGGTTTGGGGCTTGGGGCTTGGGGCTTGGGGCTTGGGGGCTGGGGCTTGGGGGCTGGGGCTTGGGGTTTGGGGGTTGGGGTTTGGGGTTTGGGGTTTAGGGTTTGGGGTTTAGGGTTTAGGGTGTAGGCTTTAGGGTCTAGGCTTTAGGGTTTAGGGTTTAGGGTGTCGGACATGGAGCCGAGATTTTTCGGGCGATGTCACTTATGGCCAACAGCGCTTTTGTTCTATTGCAGTGTAGACTAGTTTTGCAGAATGGGACCTAGAGCTCATAATCTAAGTTTTGTAGATGGACTAGAGAAAGGAAAGAAATGGAATTCTTTTGCAAGCCTCTTCCGTACTGCGAGACGGACGGGAGAAGGCGCGCAGCCCACTGATCTGTGGAACATGCCCAGGGAGCCCCCTCCCCCCCCAACTCCAACAAGGTTTCCTCTGGCTAGGCACTCTAAACCCAGGCGCTCGATCTTAAACACTATGCCCCTTGGTAGCCCAATCACCACACTACAGCAATGGCACCCTTTTTGGGCTTTTTGGGTTGGTAACTTTAAAAGAGGGAACCCACAGAAGCAAAAAAAAAAAAAGTAAAGGGGACCACTGGGCTAGCAAGACCCTAAAACTCAGCAAGATTGAGGGCTTGGGGCCCTGAACCCAAAATCCTACACCCTACACTCTAAAGTCATGTCCGATGCCCAAAATAACTTCAGCATGAGCGGCACGGAGGTGACAATGTCGCTCACAGCTTGCCTGGGTTCCAGTTAGGGTTGAGCGTTTAGCGCTTAGCGCTTAGCGCTTAGCGTTTAGCGCTTAGCGTTTAGCGTTTAGCGCTTAGCGTTGAGCGTTTAGCGCTTAGCGTTTAGCGTTTAGCGTTTAGCGTTTAGCGCTTAGTGGTTAGCGTTTCGGGCTGAGGGTTTAGGCAGCAATGCTAAACCGTAACAGCCTAGACCCTAGACCCTAAACCCTAAACTCCCAAAACCCTTAGAACCCCTAGTATCTTACATGGGCCGAGCACGCGAAGCCCCGGGACAAATCTTCACGTCCAAGTCGCGCATCCTTCCGGAACTCCTGTGGCCCGCAAGGTTCACCCCGGCGCCCCTTAATTAAGGGCTTGGGTTTAGGGTTGAGGGTTTAGGGTTAAGGGTTTAGGGTTTAGGGTTAAGGGTTTAGGGTTTAGGGTTAGGTTCAGGGTTCGGGCGGACTTATGGACCCGGCCCCCGAACGCAGTAGACGAAGCTTGGACAAGTTGTGAATTGAGCTGCACGTAGGTTTTGTGGTTGGGGTCTCAAGGGCTTCAGCGTAGACAGCCTGACAATGTCCTGGGTACGAGTGGAGTTTTGGCGTTTTGCGGGTCCTCGCTAGACTCTGAGCCCCAAAGCATGAATCCCGAATAGGCCAACCCACCCGAAACCCTAAACCCTGAACCCTAAATCCGAAATTCGCCGAGAAGCCCTCAGGTGCCGGTGCCGAACCTGAACCCCTGCATCCCCCGAAAGCCTCCGGAACTCCGAAGCCTTCTGGGACAGGTAAGCTGGAACTAACCTGACTTACAAACACGACATGTCCCTGAATCTACAAACTGTGTAAGCCCAAGCCCTGCAACATGTTCTAGCACCCCTCACTTGAAACCCCATACACCCCCTTGAAGCCCTTCGGACCCTAAACCCTAACCCTAAACCCTAAACCCTAAACCGGTTCTCCCCCTAGCCCCCCGTGGTTTCCTCCAGTGACCAGGCCGCCCCTGCATAGGCGGCGTCTACGTGGACCCAAAGCTGCTCCTCCTGGGAGGGTCCAGGGTTTAGGGTTTAGGGTTTAGGGCTTCTTAAGGTTTAGGGTCAGGGTTGGGGTTGGGGCTTTGCGGGGTCTGTAGGAAGTAGCCAGTAAGGAGCACTTTAGGGTTTAAGGGGTCCTATACAGCGAAGCCCCAAGTCAAGAGATCTGAAGCTGCCTCCGTAAACGTCCCTTTCAGCAAATCTAAGGGGATGCACATCGAAGCCATCAGAGGGCCCTCAAGCCCTACCCAAAACCTCAACCCCCAAACCCCCAAACTCTTAAGCTCCCAAACTCCGAGCCCCTCCCGCTTTGCAAAAGGACCCACCTCCGCAAGCTGTTTGAAGGCCGCCACGTTGTCGGTTCCTGACCTGAGCGTTTGGTGGGCTAAGGGCCGTGGGGTCTCTCGTTAGGGTTCAGGGTTCAGGGTTTAAGGTTCAGAGTTCAGGGCTTCGGGCTTAGGGCTTAGGGTTTCGGGGTGGCCTTAGGTTTGTTCTTGGTCTGCTAGGGTGAGGAGGTACAGGCTCAACTTCTATGCTTGAGGTTTCATGGGAACCCTGACAGCTTCAAGTGCAGCAGGTGTTGCTCTTACTGCCCAGTTGGCCATATGGGCGACGAAGATTCCACTAGCTTCTGGTAAAACACTTCTGCGGTCGCGACATGCTCATCTCCACCGAGGGCCTAGATGCATTCCTTCCATATGCTTCGTGTGCACGCTGGTAGATGCTGCCTTTCTTACCTCCGGGTACCTCTTGGAACCTCACCCCCCAACCCCCAACCTGCAAGCCCTAAACCCTAAACCCTAAACCCTAAACCCTAAACCCTAAACCCTAAACCCTAAACCCTAAACCCCTTGCTCCTTACTTTGCAGGGCACGTATTCGTAGAGCCGTAGGTCAGGATCAGAGCCAGCGGCTGCAGGCCTGAGCTTTGTCAGAAGAGTCTTGTGGTGTAGAGGGCTTCTTGGGCTTCCTTGGGGCCACTGGGGGCTTGATTGAGGGGCTAAAAAACAATTGGCTTCGGGTTTGGGTCCACTTGGGTTTTTTTGGGGCTTGCAAGGGCCAGAAGCAACCCTCAGATGTGCACAACGTGGCGCGATGCTTGCTCAAGCTCGAGAGGTTTCTGCCGAAGTGCTTTCAGGCCGTGAAGGTGGTTTCGGGTCTAGGGTTTGATTCTAAAGGAAATAAACCTAAAACACCTACACCCCTGAACCCCCCACTGTCGCGATGGTCCCGGCCTGCTGCACGATCCTTCGCAATGGCGCTTTGCACGTCACCTCTCAAAACATGCGAACTTTCTTCCGATAGCCCGGGGTTTAGGAGATTGGGGCACATCGCAGGCCTAAACTAAAAAGCCCTCATACACCCACCATCGAAAAGGGGTTTTCAGCAAGGACATGTAGCTTGAAGTCATGGCGGAGCCCTGGGCTAAGTCTTTCACGAAGCTATGTTGGATACCGGGGCTTAAGGATTCTAGAACTTTCGGGTTTTAGGTGCGTTGAATCAGCCGACGCACACGTCTTGCTAGGTCGGCCAAGGGGTCCAACGCGTACGGACAATCCTAAAGGACCACAACAACCTTAATCAGACCCCTACACCCTACCCTGGGCCCCAAATCCTCCAGGCCATGATTTTCCGCAGCCGCTGGTTGTTTAACTGAGGCTTCAACGGAACCAGAATCTGCATGCCGAGATGCTTGGGCGCAGCGTGAAGTTTTTGTCGGTCTGCAGCCAACCGGGTGGGGGTCTTACACAAACATGCAAAACGACCCTCAGGGTGGTAGGGTGGGCGGGAGACAGGGGGCTTCAGGGGCTTCGAGCTTAGGATGTATTTGGTCGAAAAAACGCTACCTGGGGCTAGTATCATACCCCGGGCCCGCAGAAAGTATCCAACCAACCATGCAGGAGCGGCAAGGGCACGCCAGGGTTTTGGCTCGCGCGGATTCACGGCAAGGAGCTTCAGAATTCTCTGGCACTCGTGACAGTGACAAGAACTACAGGGCCCTCAACTCTCAACCCTCAACCCTCAACCCTCAACCCCTCATCCCCTTAAACCCTAAACCCTAAACCCCAAACCCCAAAACCCCAAACCCAAAACCCTGAGCCGCCCTCGAAACCTCCAAAGCACTCCCTGGCCTCGTCCAGCACGGCCTTGACGCGGCGACACCGGAGCCCAGCGAGGCGGCAGGCTTTCCTTTCTGTGCTGTGGGCCGGGGGTTTAGGGTGGGTTGAGGGTTTACGGTTTAGGGTTTAGGGGCTATAGGGCTTAGAGCTTAGGGTTTCGGATTTCTGGGCTTATGGCTTGCTTGACTTGGGAGTGGGAGTTCCGCTGAACCCGAAACCCTAAGCCCTACAGCCTAAACCCTCAACCCGAAGCCCTCAAGCCTGTTAGGCTTCACAGACAGCTTGTTGACGTACAACACCCTGAACTTCAACACCCCGGCTCTCAACCCCAAACTTTCTACGAGCCCTGAAACCCGAAGGTCGGTCTCAATCCCTGAACCCAGCTGCTGGGTTTTAAGTTTCAGGTGTTCGGTTTTTGGTTTAGGGTTTAAGCCCTCAAGGGTTTAGGCTTCGGGGGGAGGGGGGGGGGGAAGGGTCGGGGATTTTGTGAAGGTTTGGGGAGGATTCTGCCTGCTGAAGTCTTCAGTTTCATGCCTGGAAACTGACCACCAAACACCGTCGGCATACAAACACTTTGTTAAGGTAAGCAAATCCTGAGCCTTAACACCCTACTTGGAGTTTCGTGGTACTTAGTAACTAGTTCTAGTTGTATTTTATAACCCAATTATAGCCTAAGTAACTAGACTCAGGGGACTTGTAATTGGGTTATAAGTGCAGTTATCATTAGTTGCTACGTACCATGAACCCCCCGTGAGTGTTCGCCCAGCGGCTCCGCACTGAAATGCGCCTGGTCGGACGTGTACACCACGTAGGACGAGGCATCCTCTCCACCCAGCGCTGAAGGGCAACCCTAAACCCTAAAACCTAAAACCTCTAACCCTCTAAACCTCTCCTACCAAATAATTATAACCTTAATGGTATTCGTGGGCAAGGCCCAAATATTCGTGGGCAAGGCCCAAAGATTCGTGGGCAAGGCCCAAATATTCGTGGGCAAGGCCCAAAATCCGGATTTCGGGCTTGCCCACGAATTTTTGGGCCTGTTGGTTCGTGGGCAAGGCCCAAAAATTCGTGGGCAAGGCCTGTGCTTGGGCTTGTCAGGGAGCCAAGGCCCCCCCCCCCCTCCACTCCAGACTTAACAAGCCCCCGAAGTGTCCCTAATCCCTAATCCCTAAACCCTGAACCCTAAACCCTAAACCCTAAGCTCTAAACAAACCCGCTACTTCCAGCTTCGGTCCTGGTGGAAGGCGTCTTCCCACGACAACCCAGGATTCTTCCGCCGATGCCTCGAACCCCAAGCCACGGGGGCCCTCAAAAAACTCTTGAGCCCCTACTTGGAGGGTTTAGGGTGTAGGGTTTGGGGTTTACGGTTTAGGGTTTAGGGGTTTAGGGTTCAGGGTACTTATTAACCTGTGATTGTAGCCCAATAATCACCATATTGGGGCACTTCAGGGGCTCAGAAGTTCGAAGAAAACACACGATGAAGATCTGGAAGGCCCCACAGTTACCCCAAACTGGCCCTCTCTCCCAAAAAGAAACCCGAATCCCCAAACCCAAGCCCTTCAATCCGAACCCGAGGACCCTACGAGAACCTCCCTAAACCCTAAACCCTAAACCCTGAAGCCAGAACCCCCCCCCCCCCCCCCCCCCCCAATGTTAGATAGGATGCATGCGGGTCCGGGCACAGATCATCATGTTCCTCAAGCTGCAGCAAGATTCAGGGCCTAAACCCTTTCCCTAAACCCTAAACCCTAAACCCCTAAACCCTAAACCCTAAACCCTAAACCCTAAACCCCTAAACCCTAAACCCCTGAACCCCAAACCCTCAACCCTGAGTTTGCAAGAGCCTGCCTTTCGTTTTGCTGGCGGAGGCTAGAACCGCGGGCGTGGTTTTCAGAACGCCCTACTTGGAGCTTCATGGTACTTATTAACTATCACGGTACGTATAACCCAATGATAACCTCATTAGGTGCACTTAAGGGGCTCATAAGTGGGTTAGAAGTACAGCTGTAACTGACTAAGAAGTACCATGAACCTCCTAGTATACGCCGTCGGTTCATGGGTCGTGGCTTGCGACGGGACTGGGCAAAGGGCTCTCAGCTTTGTTGCGCAACCGCTTCTTACTAAACCCTAAACCCTAAACCCTAAGCCCTAAGCCCTAAACCCTAAACCCTAAAACCCTAAACCGCTTAAAACCCCTAGAATCCTAAGCCCTAAACCCCAAACCCCAAACCCTACTAAGGAGCCCAGCAGGCAAGGAAGTACTCCGAGGCGCAGCATGCTCTCGCCAGCCGTACCCTGAATGATCCCACCTCCGGATAGCCCCAGGTGGTTTGGGGGTTTAAGGTTTGGGGTTTGGGGTTTAGGGTTTAGGGTTAGTTTAGGGTTTAGGGTTTGGAGTTTGGGGTTTGGGGTCTGGGGTTTGGGGTTGAGGGTTTAGGTTTCAGGGTGAAGGCTAGGTTTTGGGTTTGGGGTTCAGCATTTGTTTGCCAGCTGGCCAGAAAAAACTTGGCCTAAGTGAGGCTGTTCTCAAGCCCTAAACCGATCCCCTCAACCCCAATTAAGGCAGAGTTTCCACGATCAATCGCAACAACACGTCCCAACATAAACTATCATAAGAAAACATCCACACAGTCCAACAACAAGGAACTGAGTTCGAACAGTGCTGGCTGCAAACCTCTGCGCTGCAAACCCCTTGGTGTGGGTTCAGCGTTCACGGGGCGATGAAAAACCTCAACAACCCAAACAGACAGAGCTAGACCCGCCTTAAAAATAAAAAACCCTTAACGTGCCCTCTACACACCTCCCCAAGAGAGGGAGAACCTTCCCCTGCGCCTCCGACGCCCGAGGTGTGGTGGAAGGCTTCCCCGATCCCCAGGAACTTGGCCACCCAGTCCATGATGACGACCTTGGGGCCGAACTCTTCGGGAATGTCGGAGTCGGAGAGGGAGCCCAACGTGATATTTTTTTATAGAAGAAGGGGGTTTAGGGTTTAGGGTTTAGGGTTTAGGGCTTAGGGTTTCGGGTTTAGGGTTTAGGGTTTAGGGTTTATTTAGGGTTTAGGGCTTTAGGGCTTTAGGGCTCATGTACTTAGCAGGGGGTATTGAATTGGGATCCATAAAGGGGCAAGAAGTCGGGCTCTAGGGCTTTAAGCGAATGAGCGATTCATGGGCACGGTGGGGGGGTCAAAGATGAGCCTAATGCTTGCTTTGACGTCTCCTACCTTGGGGTGCCGGGGTCTAGAGGGGCTACCCAGAGACTGGAACCAGGGCCCTAAACCTCAAAACTAGAATTCCGACCCTGTGCCCCAGGGCCTTGGACCTCAACCTCCTCAACCCACCCTCAACCCTGAACCCTACGCTCCTTCTCTTCTTCCTTGCATCCCTAAACCCTAAAAACCTTAAACCCTAAACCCTAAACGGCCCTAAACGCTAAACGGCCCTAAACCCTAAAGCCCTAAACGGGCCTAAACCCTAAAACCCTATACACCCTATCTGAGCCAAGTCGACCTCCAGCTCCGTGCCGATGGGATTGGAGGTCCTCACCGAGGGCGTCAACCCCTGAGCCCTTGAACCCTCGAACCCTTGAGCCCTTGAGCCCTTGAACCCTTGAACCCTTAAACCCTTGAGCCCTTGAACCCGAAACCCAGAGCCCGAAACCCTGAACCCTAAACCCTAAACCCTAAGCCCAAAACCCTGAAGCCTGGTAGAACCCTTAGGCTCTAAGCCCAACCAGAAACTTTGAGGGGTTGAGGGATTCAATTCAGAACTTCAGGGCTCACCGGGGCTTCCCTGCTTTATGCGGCTTGTGGGGGTTTTAGGGGCTTCTGGTGTTCATAGGGATTGTAGAAAACCTCCTACGATGTCGCCCACTCCTTGAAATCGATTCGTTGGTGACAGTTTAGGGGCTCAAGGCTTGAGAGTCAGAGGTTACAGCCCTCAACCGAGGGCTCGCAACCTACTCGTGGCAGGTCCCCAACCCCTAGCCTAGTTAAACGCCAAAAGCATCCAAATTGTGGCCTTGATTGAACCCCTAAAACCTCTGCACTCACTAAACCATTAAACCCCACATGCACCTCAAACCCGAACCCCTTTCCCAAAACATGCACACACACACACAATCACAGACACTCTGTCAGAAGTGAAGAATCTTCGAGAAGCGCCTCTCGGGAACTTCATCGAATGTCAAGCATGCATTGTTCGTGCGCCATGAACGGCATGAAGATAAAGTGGCGCGCGGGTACATAGGTAGTTCACACGCACAAACCCTAAACGCTCAACCCAAGACCCGAAACCCTCAAAGCACTCAAAACCCTGAAAAGACAACCTCGAAAAGAAACCTCAAACGCCTCAAAGCCCTCAAAACCCCGCCAAAAAAGACTCAACACCCCCAGAACCCCTCAATAGACTCTCAAAGCCACCCGATCCTCGAAGCCCCCGAAACCCCCAAAGCGACTGGGCACACGGCCACTGAAGCCCGACCGAGCCGATGCTGGCGATGATGGTTTCGCTCAGGATGGCCTGAAGGGTTTGTAGGGTCCTAAAGGGTGGTCTTAACAGTTTGGGGTTTCGGGTTTTACGGCTTGGGGTTTAGGGGCCGTGAGTGGACAAGGTTATAGGACTTTTGTGGTTTCGGGTCTTCGGGTTTCAGCCCACATTAATCGCCCCCCCCAACCCCCCAACAACCCCCCCCTCCCTAAACCCTAAACCCTAAACCCGAAACCCTAAACCCTAAACCCTAAACCTTTTCCCCTAACCCAACCCTAAACCCCCGCCCACCGGCACAGACGAGCTGGATGGATAGTACGCCATGAAGCGTGGATGCTGCCAACCTCAGTCGACACACTTGCGAGGGCCAGAGACCTTAGGGGTGGTGGGGTTTTCTGGATTTCGAAGGTCTGCGGATGGTGGGTTTAGGGTTTAGGGTCTAGGGTTCAGGGTTCCGGGTTTAGGGTTTAGGGCTTGGGGTTTAGGATTCAACTCTCAGCCCGAACCGAAACCTTCATTTAAGCCTTAAGACGGGCTTGAAGTTTACTTGGGTACTTATAGGAAGGGTTAGAAGGACCCTGAAAACCATAGTTACCATGCCTATGACCCTACTTATCAGTACGCTGAACCCCAAAGCCTCAAAGAAAGCCCAACAATCCCCGCCGCCCACCCTAAACCCCAAACCCTAACCCTAAACCCTAAACCCCAAACCCCAAACCCTAAACCCTAAACCCCAAACCCCAAACCCTAAACCCCAAACTTACTTCCCTCCCCTGCTTCCACTCCCTCGGGGTGCGGGCTGAGAGCACCCGGGAACACCTGACTCCAGGGGCCCTAAACCCTAACCCCCCCCCTCTCTAATTTACAAGAAAAACAAAAAGGGCTTAGGGTTTCGGGTTTCGGGTTTAGGGTTTAGGGTTTAGGGTTTAGGGTTTAGGGTTTAGGGTTCAGGGTTTAGGGTGCAGGGTGTAGGGTTTGGGGCTTAGGGTTTCGGGTGGGTTGAGATCCTGCTGGGCTTTTCGACGGCAAAGTGCCTGGCTGGGGAGTGGGGGGGGGGGGGGGGGGGGGGGGCGAGGGCGGGGCAGAGGGGCTTCGGGTTTTGGGGTTCAAAGCTTGAGGGTGGAGCCCCCTCAACCCTAAACCCTAAACCCGAAACCCTAAACCCTAAACCCACGATCACCAGCCCTCGATGGTCCCCCTAAACCCTAAACCCTAAACCCACGATCACCAGCCCTCGATGGTCCTGTACCCCGACAAGTACAGAATCATCTAATCTAGGGGCCTTAGGAATTAGAATAGTTGGGGGCTATGATTGTCTGAATATTTAGGCATGGGGCGCTATTCACGTGTAAATATATTGGGGGTTTACGAGGACCCTTAATATAGACCCCCAAATAGTTCCTCCTCATCCCCAGGAATTTGTAAAGACTTGCAAAGGACGGCACAGCTTTCCAGGGAGTAGTTTCACATCTAAACAGCCAAACAGACCATCACCGAAAGGAATTGTTACACCGCAGCGGATCTACTGATTTGTTGTCATCGATACTAATCAGGGACGTCCAATCTCTGTACATGCATATTCTCAGATGCATACACACATGCATACACATGTATAGATGCACGGAGGCAGGCATCGATACTAAATAAACCTTGGCTATCACAATGCGTACGTGAAAATTAGATAAACACGCTTCTCAATGATTCCCTACAAGCCCTCTCAAAAAAACCGCCTCGCGGCAGAAGGAACCTTCAACTTCCTGCACCCCCCCCCCCCCCCCCCCCCCGAGCTTCCCTCTCACCCCCACCCCCCGCACACAGGAAAAAACAAAACAAAACGAAATGAGCCTTTGTTTCCAGCTTCTGCAAGATCTGGCCGTAATCCGTCGGGCCTTCCGGCGGCTCCTTGCAGGCTCCAGCTTAATGGCTCCTAGCAGGGGAATTCAGGGAAAACAAGGTGCCTTGCATAACCCCTTGAAGCGTTGCGGGGTTTAGGGTAGGGGGAGTATAAGGTACTAAACCCTAAACCCTACACCCTAAACCCTAAACCCTAAACCCTAAACCCTAAACCCTAAACCCTAAACCCTAAACCCTAAACCTCAGTGAGCCAGGCTGATTCAGGGTTTAGGGTCTTAGGAAGTAGGACTTAAGGTCTTGGGTGGGTAGAGTGTCAAATATGGAGCTGCCTGCCAGAAAAAGAAGCCGGAAATAGAAGGAACTTACCCGACACCCTGAACTCTGAACCCTAAACCCTGAATTCTGAACCCTAAACCCTGAACTCTGGACCCCAAACCCTGAACCCTGAACCCTAAACCCTGAACTCTGAACCCGAAGCCCTGAACCCTGAACCCTAAACCCTGAACCCCAAACCCTGAACTCTGAACGCCAAACCCTGAATTCTGAACCCTAAACCCTGAACTCTGAAGCCCAAACCTTGAACTCCGAACCCCAAACCCTGAACTCCGAACCCTAAACCCTAAACCCTAAACCCCGACTCCCTTTTGAAGGGTCCCACCTGCTGGAACTGGGCAGCCAGGTCCCCCGGCTTCACGTCCGGCCACACCTCACATATGGTAGGAAGTAAGGCAAAGAAAGAGATAATATACATACTTATATGTATCTAGCTATATCTGTTCGGGGCTTAGTTATTTTTCGCAGTGTCCCGGGGCTTGATCGGGGTCCTTTGAGTCTTCTTCACATTCTTCGGGGGGCGCCTGGGTTTGTTGGGGTTTTTGGTCTTCGGGAGCTCCCTCCGAGGGTCTTGGCCTCCGGGGCCGAGCAGGTGTTTTAGAATGGCTTTTGGGGCTTTGTCCCGGCATTTAGGCTTCGAGTTGAGACCTCCACCGTTTTTTGCGGGTTCGTGGAGTCCCTTAGAAGGGCTCAGACAGTGGGAGGGCAACCCTGAATTCCCTAAACCCGAAACCCGAAACCCTAAACCCTGAACCCTAAACCCTGAACCCTAAACCCTGAGCCCTATGCTTCCCTCCATAAGAACCCCACAGGGGCCTTCAGAAACCCACAAACTCACCTCAAGAAGCCTCAAGAAGAACCCGGAAGCCACCCCCCACGGCTAAGTCCCGTCCGGGATGCGCCCTTCTCACCGCGGCTCCGCGTCACCTGCTTCGTCTAGGTTTCGGATTTTTGGATTTTTGGATTTTTGGGTTTTTGGGTTTTTGGGTTTTTGGGTTTTTGGGTTTTTGGGTTTTTGGGTTTTTGGGTTTTTGGGTTTTTGGGTTTTTGGGTTTTTGGGTTTTTGGGTTTTTGGGTTTTTGGGTTTTTGGGTTTTTGGGGTTTTTGGGTTTTTGGGGTTTTGGGTTTTTGGGTTTTTGGGTTTTTGGGTTTTTGGGTTTAGGGCTCTGGGGTTTAGGGGTCCTCCGTTGATGACCCAATCAAGGGGGTCTAGGCGCTGAGTCGGACCAAACAAACGTCAAGGGCAAGTCGCTCTTGACTGGTACGGGGGGCTCCAGAGGCAATCACGAGAAAGTGCAAGCATTTGACTTGCTGGGACTGTTTTTGACGTCACATGTCAGTTTCGGCCTCAGCCTTTGGGCTATGTGAGCGGAGAACTTGACCGGGGAAGACAACGTGACAACATAAGTAACTTAAGGGCACAACAGGACAGCTCCTACTTCCAGCTGCAGCAAAGAAGAAAAGACGTTTCTTCGCCAAGGTGCATCGTGCGAAGCCCTGAGCCCCGGAACCCTCTAGCGATATCATGCTAAACCCTAAACCCTAAACCCTAAACCCTAAACCCTAAACCCCAAACCCCAAACCCTAAACCCTAAACCCTAAACGAAGCCCTGAACCCCGGAACCCCTTAAGGGCCTTTAGGGATGAGTAAATCAGGGCTGCCCCGTTCAGCCTTCTCGATCACTGCCAGGGTCTGATGTCCCAACTCCTCGTCTCAGGGCTGCGTCTTCTGGGCGGTTAGAAGGCACTTAAGATGATACTTCTGCAGGGATGTTTAGGCGCCTGTGCTCAGGGTTTGGGGTTTGGGGTTTGGGGTTTGGGGTTTGGGGTTTGGGGTTTGGGGTTTGGGGTTTGGGGTTTGGGGTTTGGGGTTTGGGGTGTAGAGTTTAGGGTTTAGGGTTCCGAAGAGCACCTGGAAGCCACACACAGAAGGGGTTCAGGCCATTACCAAAAAACAAAGAAGACACCGATCCGAAGCTCCGTCAGCGTCTGCCCGTCCACCGACTGCGACGGCCCCTCTGCCCGCGCGCGCTTCCCCATGGCGACGGCGCGGCCGCTGCGGCGCCAGAATTGGAAACCCCTGCCTAGGGGCTTTCAGGGTTTAGGGTTTAGGGTTTAGGGTTGAGGGTTTAGGGTTTAGGGTTTCGGGTTTCGGGAGTATAGGGTTTAGGGCTATAAAGGGTTGGGGGTTGGGGGTCTTAGCATTTCAAGACTTAGGGGTCTTGAGATCATTGAGGGCTGTGCGGTGTGGGGGTTATAAGGATTGAGGGTTGGGGTTTGGGTTTTTGTTAACAGCTGCAACCTGGCTGCAACCCTGGACACCTAGCTACCCTAAGGCAATAGTAAACGGACCACAGAGGTTACGGTCGAAAAGGCTGGGCAAGTGGCTGGGCAGCCAGTTCTTGTAGTTCTGGAGAGGCATTGGGGGCCAATTGGGGGTGTGGGGTTTAGGGCTCAGAGCCCTTGTTGCTTTTGAGAGGACGTAGGCACGGTTCGCGCTGTCAGACAAAAACCGACAGAAGACTTCTCAGGGCAACGGAAAAGTCCGAGGTCCTGTCGCCCAAGCCTCTCTTCAGAAGACTCAACAAAAAACAAGCAAAGTCCAACTCTGACCTTAAAGAGAACAATTTGCTGGGACTCCAAAGCACCCACATTGCGCACCAGGAGCCACATAAGCCACACAAACCCTACCAAAGCCCCTAAAATCGAGCCACGGATGTCGCTTCGCTGCAGTCGCTGGGACAACGCTGCTCCGAAGGCACAAGCAAAGCCAGCGACGTAGGCGCGGCCCCGTGGACGTGTTCGGGCTATGGGGCCTGAGGAGGGGGCACTGAAACGGGGTTGGGCGGTTTAGGGTTTACGGTTTAGGGTCTAGGGTTTAGGGTTTAGGGTTTGGGGTTCCAGGCTGCTTCAGACGGACACCAAGCAACGCTTTTGCGGGGGGAGCCATATGAACAGCTCTGAAGCTTGTTGCCCTAGCCTTCCGTCGCGGAGCACGCGCAGCTGGCTTTGCAGATGCTGTGGCAAGCAACGAGTCTCAGCTGCCTGGGTTGTTGTTCAGGGACCTCAAAACAAGGACGGCCATGCCTCTTGCAAGGTCCGTTCGTGGGCCAACGCCTCTTTCAGGGTGCAGGATATATGATAAAAAAATATGGCCAAAAAAGGGGGATTCTCTGGCGTCTGAACAACAACCCAGGTGCATCGGGCTCTGCATCACCGCAGCAGGCGCGACACCCAGCACCCAGCTCGCAGGCCCCTTATTGTTGGGACTTCTCGGCTTTATTGGGGGCTGCGCTGACACTCTCATCCTAATTTACTTCAACCTTACGGTACACTGATTTCTAGGGCCCTCCTTGAAAACACAAGGAAGGGGCAGGAGCAGGAACATCTTTACAAGACCTCATTTGCAGGAGCTGCTTAGGAACTCTTACTTTGACAACGAACCTTCGCCACACTGCAGGGGGCCAGGACTGAGAGGTTGATTCTTTAGGGTTTAGGGTTTAGGGTTTTGGGTTTTGGGTTTAGGGTTTAAGGCTTAGGGCTTAGGGTTTTAGGGTTTAGGACACACAATCAACCCCATTGTCATCACCGCTGTGTGCTTAACAGGCGCTGTGCCCGATTCGCTACGTTGCCCCGCCGCCAGCGTGCGGGTATCAGCGTGCTCAAGGTCGGGGTTGAGCTGAGAAATTTAGGGAGGCCCTATTGCTGGAGGAAAGAATAATCGTGACAAGCCATCAGATTCATGCAAAGGTTTCCTGAAAACTGGACGCTCGAAAGAGTTTCTCTCGAAAGTGTTGAGCTTATGTTATCATCCCTTGGTAGCCCCAGTAGCCATCTTATAACAAGGGTACCCTTTCTTTGGTTGGCTCGTTCTTTAGGGAGCCCAGAACCAAGAAAAAAAGGTAAAGGGTGCCACTGGGCTACCAAGATCCTGTGCCCTAAACCCTACACCCATAAGCCCTAAACCCTAAGCCCTAAGCCGTAAACCCTAAGCCCTAAGCCCTAAACCCGAAACCCGAAACCCTAAACCCCACCATAAGTGTAGAGCATGCTTGCGGGGCACTGCTTTGAGGTCATGAAGCCCTCTTCCAGCCGAAAGCTGCGAGGGAGGGCAGGGCAGAGTGCGACGAGATGCAGCTGAGGGAGCTAAACTTGGGCTTCGGGTTTAAGGGTTTGGGGGTTAGGGGTTCAGGGGTTCAGGGGTTTAGGGGTTCAGGGGTTTAGGGGTTCAGGGGTTGAGGGGTTTAGGGGTTCAGGGGTTCAGGGAGTAGGGGTTAGGGTTTCGGGTTCAGGGGTTTAGGGTCTGAGGTTTAAGGTTCCGGGTTCCGGCGTCCCGGCGTCTTAGCATCTTAGCGCAGGAACTCCCAGGGATATGGACTGCAGGGCGCAGACTTGGAGGTTCATGGTACTCAGAAACTAATTGTAACTGTACTTATAATCCAATTCTACGTCCCTAGGCAAAATTTGGGTTGTCAGTACAGTTATAAGTTATAGCTAGTTGCTAAGTACCATGAACCTCGAGGGTTTAGATCCTGTTGGGGATGCCCTCTTTACTTTAGGGTGGCGGTCCCTTCGTATGGGACCTTCAAAGAGGACCCCCCTTAGATATTCTCAAAAAGCCGTATACGACCCTTTTAAAGGACCATAGTCAAGGACCCTTAGATTGCGGCACTATCGACCGCAGGATCGGCCCCGCGACTATGCACGACCCAAACCTCTGAGCCCTGAA